TGTCGAGAATTACCGGGATCCGAATGATATTCGAGCTGAGATAGAGCGAGTGATAGATCTAATATCAACACAGCCTCTAGTTGTTAATATTAGAACTCAGTTTCACCAGGCATTCCGACAACCTAATTCCAATATATCTATGATAGTTGACTCTGGTGCCGATCACCCCATTATAGCTATAGGCAGACAAGCACCAAGGAATTATTTGATAGCATTATTTGACGATCTAGCTAGTTCGGAGCAGTGATCACCAGCTCGGAAGAATTTGCTGGGTCACTCCTGTGCGACAAAAAATAATACCATAGATGTTATGTATCATGGGCGCAGTCCCTGTATTTATTTTCGCATATATTAATAAAAAATTTTCTTGGCAAAAGTGATCGGCGTTACAATTTGTAACGCACACGTGATTTTTATTTCAACACAACTATGCAAAAAAAACCGGATTAAACAGATCCATGACTTCTTGACAGTCTGTATCAAGTATAAAGGAGTGTGCGAGTCTTAATAGAAAGTTTAAATGAAAAAACGTTAGTTCATTACATGTATATTTAGTAACAAATATGACCAATGCGATGAGTGTAGAATATCTACGTTTCAGAACGGTGAGTCACTGCCCAATCATAAGACATCTTCTACATATCTACCCGAAAGGAAGTTTCCATTTGTCATCCGCATTTATCGCTTTAAATCTCGAAATAAAATTATCAATCAACTTTTTCTCCAACTTCTTTCTCTCCTTGGCCTTCTTGTCCTTGTCGACATCTTCATCTTCATTTTCGTTGTCATCTTCGTCGACATCTTCATCGTAGCCATCAATTTCATCATATTCATCATCATAAGCCTAATGTTGGAAAATTAGAAATAACGAAACAGAAAATATTGACTAACACAGCATTTTATATACATTAGAATCTTCGTCTGATATTTCTTCATAGATTCGCTTGCTGGTGTTATTCACTCTATTTAGCTTTTCATTGTAATTTAATTTTTTTATATTTCTCGGTGTCCTTCTGAGTGGAGAATTTCCTTGTTCATTGATGGTTTCAACTGTTCCTCCATTAACTGTTCCGGCAACTGACCCATTTACAGTTCTTATTTGCTGGTGTAGATGAACCTGTTTGCGCGTACGTTCTCTTTCCCAGGCTTTTGCAATTTTCTGATCCGGTCTTGGATTCTAGCATAGAAGATTTGGAAATTAGTAAAATTCTTGCTCACACTTTGATTTCATCCCATTTGAGTATCAGGTAACCAAGGAGGCCACCCAACCCCAATGGGTCCAATGTTAGATCAGCAAAGAGCCTTGAACGTCAAGTAACCAAAGAGGTTAATTGCGCTCTAACACTGGTTTTGTGGCTCGGCAAAGAGCCTTGAATGACGAAAGGCCAAGGAGGCCTACGATCGTCACGCCACTATTTTCTACCTATACTTAAAAAAGTTTTTACTTGCCTTCTGGTATCGGTCAAGAAGCTGACTTGCTTTTTTTTGCCTCATTCCTTTTTCCGCTTTAATCTTTCGGAGGCTTTTAAGGTATTCGTCTATTTTTCTCTCAAATGGTTCTAGGTCACATTCACTTAAAAAGCCGACTATATTCCAACTACTATATTTACGATTGAAGTACTTAGGTATTTTGTTTTTGGTCATAACGAAAGAATAATTTGATAATTTTTTGACTTACGCGTTATCGCGATTTTTGAATTTCTTCCATAGTACAGAACACATGATACGCGTTACTCAAGAATTTGCATTAAATAGCAAAATTGTAGTTCCTTTCCAACTGTTCTCTAAAGCGAGCTCAAATCGTTAAGGTAATGTTTGTATACTGGATTCGCAATCAGAAATAATCAATAATTTATTTTTGGCGAAAGGTATGAATACTCGGTTGCGCTAGTGCATCCCAATGAATAAACTTCTGGGCTTGAAAACCAATATTCTCTCACGCAGATTTCCGAGAAAATTATTAACAAAGCAGAAAGCAGGTAACGTAACCTTTCTCTCAGGTTCGAAAAAAATAACTGCATGTTTCATGTAAGTATAACTTACAGCATTTCTATTTTATTCAGAATCGATAACAAATGAAACCAGGGTATAGTTAATATTGAGATAGTTTAGAAATACGAAAACTTATAAACCTATAGTATAGGCAATAGTATAGAAATAATAGATAGATTTGATTATTTTTGATTTTATTACAATCAATAAAGCAAAGCATGTTAATGCGATTTTTAAAAATACTTTTTTGTGTGGTTAACCTTTTGAATTATCCTATATTGTAATAAAACAATGTCGAACGATCAATTAACAATCAATACCTTGAGAGAATTAAACTCTAGGCTTGCATCCGAGATTACTGAACTTAGAAAGGAGAATGCTGAAATTCCTGAGCTTAGAAAAAAATTTTCCGAAGTTGAGGCTGAGAACAATGAACTTAAAGCTGAGAACGTAAAATTAAAACAAGCTTTGGAAGAACATGAATCCAGATTTGCGAAACTGGAGCAGAACGATAAAGATACTGCTGTTGAAAATGCTGAGCTTAAAACTAGAGTTGCGAAATTAGAACAGAAGCAATCGCAAACCGATGAAAAGAACAACTTTATTGTTAAATTAGATGATGATGCCAAGGGAATCGATCAATCTTCAGTTAATACCATCTCTATCAAAATGAAAAATTCTAACGATACTCCGGTATCTAATATATCAGATAATATTTCAAATGTTGCTCCTGAACGAATAGAAAATAGTTCCAATAATACACCTGATGAAGTGAAGCATCTAACATCCGGTTCTTCTGATATATACCAGGAAAAGGATAGCCGATCTTTCACATCTCTCATTCATATATCATCGGAAGAGAAAGAAATTAATGAATTTATGGAATTACAGGAAAAGGAAAGAGTTAGTAATATGGCAAGAGAAAGAAATAGGGAAAAGAAGATTTGCCGAGGGCGACAAATAGTGCAAAAAACATCTTCCTCTTCTGATACACAAAATGTAATTTCTACTGAAATAAATCCTGTTGTCGAAATTACCCATGAGCATAAAACCACCAAATCAGAATCAATGCCTACTGATCAAGCACAAAATACCGGAATCAAAATTCCATATAATAAAAGAGTCGAGCAAGACTTAAGGCGCGACTTATCTGTGTTCATTAAAAAGAATAATAATAAAGTTAGTGAAGTATTTGATATACAAATTCCTGAATTCTCGTTAGAAGTAATTATAACAGGATCTAGCAAAATTACAGCACAAAATATAGCTGATTTATTTGTTATAGCAATGAAAGTTAGACAAAAAGAGATTTTATGCTGGTATTGTTACTATAAAGCATATGAGGATCGAACCGAAGACATTAAACGTGTAAATAAAATTGATGACCAATCAGCAAGAACATTGGTATATAATGAGATAAAAGCACTTCTCCCAGATATCACCGATGTAAACTTGCGTCAGAGAACATTCAGAGCAAAAAAGATTTATACGTTACTTGTGGGAATAGGAATAGAAAAAATCCAAGCAATAACATGTAGTGCAAGTGGAATCTCGAGTTTAACTGACAATCAGATTCAAGATATTATAATTTGTTTTCCTAAAAAATTTATTAGCATAGATGACTCTTCGGTTAAATGCCAAAAAATGATCGGCGTTACAAATTATAACGCGCATGTGACTGAATCTTTCGATCAGACTAATTCATTGGGGGCGGTTTCAGCTGAGGTAAGCATTCCAATTGCACCTATCCCATTAGCCCATGACTCGGTCCCAGAAGGACCCTCTAATTCTTCTGATAATTCCAAGGAAGAGGCGTGGTTTGATGAAGATATGTTTTTCAATGAGGCGAATCCCAGTAAAGTGAACACTGTCACTTCAGACGATGATGTGTATTTTGGTGAGGCGAATGAAGTTAATAAGCACGATGGTGACTCCAATTCATGTAATGATAACTCTGATCCCGACAATGATTCTGAAGAAGAGATGTCAAACGATTCGGATGATGATGGATATAATGGAAACGGTGGATATAATGGATACAGTGGTTATGATGGCGGTTATTATTATCATGATGGAAAATGTGAAAGGAAAACCTCACCAATGATGAGCCCTATTATATCTCCGGTATCTGGCTAGGAGAATTATTAGGTGATTGTATACTGAATTATCATATAGGTTTATTTTTTTCAGCTGAATCGGGATCAGCAAATTAATAGACATCAGAGTTACCATATTTATTCCATGTTTTGCGATGATCGTAGCATCCGGGAGCGATGGTTCCACAGTATTCACGTTACGCAAAATCGATTTACGATTTGTCAATTTCTAACCCATGATGTGGCACAGTAAAATTTCCCAACTGTAAAGACTATTTCGGATTCTTGTGATCCAAATACTTCATACCTTGGCTTGTTTTGAAGCTCTCGGTGTCCTGCATCTGGTCGAATTGATTTGGGATTTCTACAATATGTGGACCACGATTCGTAAGCGGTTGAAGTTTCAATCCTTATATAGTGCTAATAATACATTTTGGGATTCATCTCCTTTTTCTCATATTCATTCGAAAAAAAAAAAAGAAAAGCTATCTTGATAAGCTATCAGATAAACAAACAGGGCAGACAAATAGGATAGACAATCTCCTGCAGTACCGAAGGTACAAAGGATGTGGTTATGTCTAAAATAATTGACCTTATATTTCTCGATATAACTCTGCATCCAGTGATCGAATTTTCACGAAATTTGATAATATAGAAGTTCAGAACCTGCCGAATCCAGTCGTTCAATTCTCATCAAAATTGGGTCATTGGTTGACGAGCTATTCGCGCATTATTGGGGAATTCTCACCGAGATTTTGTTCTGACATATCCTGCGCAGAATATGCGCATGTGAATCATTTTAGTATATTACAAGGTCCCAAAGGGATCCGATCTGGCCGAGAGTGCATCATGTATTTTTTACTCGAAAGTTCCAAAAGTTTCGAAAGATATAGGCTAACTCTTTTCTTTTTTTTAGAACCTAGTGGGTAAAAAGGGGTATTTTGCAGATCGTAAGATAGGGCGTTGTTAAAAAAAAATTCAAAATGGAAATAGAGCGAGCGATTAGAATCTATGATTTACAGATTTACCCACGGATAAATAAACAGTATATTTTTATTATCCTAGTTTTGTTAGCGTAATTAACTATGACTAATCACACATTAATCAGTTTTTGAATAGGAATTGGTGGTACATAATCCAACGTGTGATTCGTC